GAAAATACACAAAAAAGCCCTTGCGATCGGGACCACAGTCTGTTCTTCAGGAATGACGCCCTGTCATTGTTGATTTAAGCTTTCCAGGCCAACCTGCCCCTGTGCAACATCTCTGCTCTGGGATGCTTTACAGCACAGGACTAAGCATCGCTGTGTTTCACACCAGTGCTTATTGTTCCACTGCAGAAGACATACAAAGTGAAAGGAAGCAGCCCAGATGAGGCGCTGGATGGACAGGGTGATCATAGACCGGGTTGGAAGAGACCTTAAAGCTCATCCAGCTCCAACCCCCTGCCCTGGGCAGGGACACCTTCCACTAGAGCACGTTGCTCCAAGCCCCTGTGTCCAACCTGGCCTTGAACAGTGCCAGGGATGGGGCAGCCACAGCTTCACGACTGCACCCACCCAATGCACACACTGCACTGGCCAACCCAAAACACCCAGCACACCTGTTGCCAACGTGGCTTTTCCAGCGACTACACAGGGGAAAGCTCACAGCTTTATGTCCAAAAGGAAGAGTGCTCAGGGCCCAGCTCACAATCCATCACAAGTGCTGATCCCCAAGCAAAATCAACGCATTTTGCCTGAATAAGGAATCAAGTTCTCAAATGGGAACTTCTGGTACTAAAGCAGAAATAAAACCACACATGCTAATACACATTCCTCACGTATATATATTTATTGATATATATATAATTTAGAAGAGTTAAAGAAACTATATAAAGATTTCCAAAGTACCAGCACATTGATCTACCTGTGACATCCCTTCTCTTGCAGAGAGGCTGCACACAAACTAGAAACCCAGCGTATTACAAAATCAGTGCAGAATATACAAAATTCACCCCATGGTAGCAAAAAGCCCAACCCCAAAAGGTCTGTTACCATCCTCACCCATCCTTGTACCTGCGGTGACACAGGCCAACAGTGAATTCTGCCCTGGAAAGCTCTGGCCTAAGTGTTACAGGCTGAAAAGCTGGGATTGTTGCTTTAGGGACAAAGCTCCACACAGAATTTGTTCTCTGCAAAGCTGTTAAATGGTCCCATGCTGTATCCTACAGATGCTTATTTTAATCAAGATCTAGCTGGAGAAACTCAGCATTTAGAATTATCTGAATATAATTTTGGATTTAGAAGCAAGCTGAGCACACTAAAGCAGGAAAAAAGGTCTAAATTTTTAAGTCAGGCTTTCCAGGTCCCACTAAGGTTTTCTTTTCTTTGAGGGACCATTTCTTGGGGTATATTTCAGAATGACCTGGGAGATTGTAAAAGCATGACTCTCATTTCTACAGTAGCTCCATGGACACACTCTCATTAACCAAAGAGCACTCTTAAGGTTGAACTTAACCCTGTGGTCAAGAGAACTAGTAAGGCACTTAGTGCACAGCAAGAGGCCGCACAGAACAGCCACTTCATGTTCACGTGGCAGCAGGTCATATGGCAATATCCAACCAGCCCTTTGGCTTTTGCCTTTGGTGCTAATTCTTGACATTAACAATATGCTTGAACTCACAAAATTACAGACATGTAAATTACACTTTGCTCTTAGAAACAAGAGCCAAGTGCGTCACCACCACACTCATCAGGGAAATAGTTTACTATGAAGAACTGGAGACCGATGTCTGGCCTGCCTTGTGCCATCAGGGAACATGGCAGGCTGGATCCTTCCCAAAATATCTGTGTGTTTCCAGTGGAAGCGTTTCTAGGAGAAAGCCACTGTGCTGCAGACAGCTGACACACTGATGTGGTTATCAGACTGGGCAAGCGCTGCTCAACAGGCCCGTGGAGTCAAACAAGTAAGATGATATGAATTGCCCACAGTTTTTAAATAACTACTATAAGACAAAGGAGAAAATACTGCTTCTGTCATTGCTTTGTGTATGTTTTGCCACTGATTTTATTCGGGCTCCCTCTTGGGATTGGGATCTTGCTTCCTAGAGAGGGAGATCGAGCTTTTGTTCCTGAAGGACCTGCTTTCCTTAAATACTGACCACCCGTTTTGCCTGTGAAGAGAAAACAGGGGTTGTCATTGCAAGGACATCTGGTCCCAGCCTTGAATTTTATCTACCAATTTGATTCTCAAGAATTGTGAAGTCTGAATGACTGATGCTGGCAACTAAAAGTTGGTCTGAGGTGCGCCTCATACCAGAAGCAGTGGGACTATACGGTCAGGGTTCCTTTCCTATCCCTAGGAAACTGCTCTGGAGCTTTAGCTGTATCCAGGCAGGATTTAAGTTCCTTCTGTGTTTCCAAATTCCAAGCAGCAGCAAACTAACTAGCATTCTCACAGGCAAATAGAAGACAGATAGACAGGCATGATTGTAGGTCCAGTTTGAGACTGGAAACTGTTGAGTTTAACCCCATTCACTTAGCACAGCTGAGAGGATTCTGTCCAGGATGCTGTGAAATGCAGGTATGAGCAAAGCAAATACCAGACAGAGGAGGTTAACTCTAGTAATGGCCTGAAATGCAGCAGACTAAAGAACTCTGAGAAAAGTCTGAAGGAGAAAAGGCTTTGGATGTTATTGGCCAAAAGAGTTTTGGTGCCGTGGGCAGGGAAAATAGCTGGTTTAACTTCTGTGTCCAGGAAAGAAAAGGATTTTGGTTCATAAATAGAGATGAGTGTTAAAAAAAGCCACCTGACATCAGCATCAATTTCTCTCTGTTGGTAAGAAGCTGCACAATCATAGATTCTGCCTAGCTCCTGGGTCTGAATGGCAAAGGAAAAGCAGTACACAGCACTAACTATTCAATTCATCTCGTAATTAGGATTAGATTAGCATCCTCTGATTGGACATTACAAGCTAAATTGGGCTCTCAGTTCTCTGTGTCAGCGTTCAGGAGCTTGCCAGAATGTTAACTGTTTCCTGTCGCACTGATTGTTCTATTCACAGTTGTACTGTCATGCAGAAAAAGCCCCAAACTGATCAAACACACCATTTCCCCAACCATCTGAGCTAATGCCTTGTTTTGAAGTAGTGTTGTTATGGAATGATTTTGAGAGCTTGCTCCCCTAGTATGCTGTAGTTAGGTTAGGTAAAAAAACGAGTTGAACAAGTAGCAAGAGTCTGATCTCAAGGATGAAGGACTTCTCTTAAGTAAAAGGAACACAGTAAAAAGCATAATCATTATTATCATAAATAGTATCTTACCAGGCTGCACTAGAAGAGTTTTATTTAAGATGGAGAGCCTCCGCTGATTCATTTTACAGCCCATCAGGTGAGATTTCCAGCCCTGAAGCCAATTAAAAAGAAGTGATACTACACCACCAGCAAAATCAGCCAAGCTTTTAGGTAGTCACTAGGCAGACACACAGACGTTGAAACCATGGGGAAAAGCAGGGTTGTGAACGGACCTCACTGCAACAGCATTTGAATCTGCTCACTCATAAAAGCATGAGCACCTTATGACTAAGTGAAATAGAAATGAAAATAGCCAAATTTTGATGATGCCAATAGATACTTTCAGTTCCTGAAAGCACACTTTGGATGTGCCAGAGATTTCCCAGCATTAGGCGGTAGTAGGGAACAGTAAGGAGAAATTAGAGAGGCCAGTTCTTCAAGGCAAGTTCTGAAGTCACTGGGTATAAGGCAGTGCTAGAAGAGGACATGAATTCGGTCCCAATGACATAACATCAAAGCAGTCTGGAAGGCATCTTACCTCCTCTCCTGGAGGAAAGTTGTCATGGCACAATGGGCAATGGTTTGCCACATGTTCTGGCTTGGCAGCTGTAATGATTAGAAAATTAGTGCAAGAATTGCAAAGACAGGCTAAGTTCAAATACAAGAGGAGGACTTGCACAACAAAGAGTGTAAAACTACTCCACGGCTAAACCAGCTCCTCCCTTTTTATCATTAACTGCTCTCAAAGTCCCATGTTTAATCATCTACATTGAAAAAAGATCAAAAGGAACAACAGTGATTAATCCTTTGGGCTTGACCTTTGAAGTTCAACCCTTCTGTTTGAAGCTACTCACAATTGCAAGTCTTGCTCTTAATATGTTTGGGCAACTCATCTTTTGGAAGGGCCTCACCACACCGTTGACATTTCCCAAAGCTGTCCTTTTTATCACAATCAGTCAACAAGTGCTCTGTCAGGCTGGCTATTTCCACCACCTGCAAGGGAGCAAGAGGCACCCAGTGAGCCCTGTACCGTGCTGAGTATTTCAAACTCTGCTTATGTGATTTTTGGAAGTTAAATCTCACTTTCCAAAATGACAAAGGGAAAATGAAATTTTAGTCCAGTCATTACTACAATTTATAACGCTGCTCTGTTCAAAAAGTGCTACCCGAGATCACATTTGTGGTCAGCATTTGTCTACCTAAGCATTAAATATCTTATAGCACCTTAAAACCAGAACAACAACAGTTAACATCTTGTAGCAGCTCCAGAAAGTATATGCCTAACCTGTTTGCAGTGCTCACATCTGGTTAACATACGGCAGTGTTTCCAGTAATGGAGATCCAACCCTTCCTCTGTGAAGGATTCATCCCTTTCACCACAAAAAATACATAAGCTAGGGAAAAAAATACAAACATCAGTAACATCACAGAGTGAAATGGATGAACACTGTTTCTTCTGTTTGAAGCTATTCTGAGAAACAGCTAATATCTTGGTACACCTTATTTTCTCTACACAGTGCTGATATTGTGCTTGGGCATGTACAGATCCTATCACATAATTTATGGTAACTACAACTGTGAAGCATTTGCTCGCATAGAAAGATGTAATTCCCCAGAAGCACTGAGAACAGCTCTCTGAGACTGGCTGCCATGGCTCCAGAGTTTCCTAATGCTTCCTCTGAGCCCCTATCCTACACTACACACGACAGCTACAATACATCTTTGATCCACTGGAAAAACATTACTAACTTGCAGGTTATACCAAGTGCTTAAGGTTGTTGGAAGATGCACATCTAACTTACTTATCCAAGTAATTTGCAACGGAGGAACGATTGTCTGGCATCTCCACTGTTGCAGGCTGTGGGCTTTCCTTTACCTGGAAACCTGTAAAAAGAGAACTATTAAAACCAAGATCACATTTTAATTTGCTTTCATGCATGCCCAGAAGTGCTGCTTCTTTGCATCTTCCCAGCAAAAACACAGAGCAGAAGCACACACACCACCATTGTGGTAACAAGCACTGAAAGCCGGTGTACCTCTAAGCAATTGGGAAACTACTGCTTCAGTCATTTACAACAGTAAAATAACTCAGTGGTGATTTTTACATGTAGTAGATGGTCTACACCAGGCTGGGGAGAAATCTAAAGTGGTTTCAAGCCATACTAATTGTTATTAGTGCTTCAAAGACATCTTGAAATATCTCTACATTTCTTACCACTCTGTGAAACATCTGCACATTTCTTAACAGTATTTGAAACTACCTACCTTGAGTCTTTAGCTTCTGAAAGTCAGAGTCTTTCCCCTATTGAACAAAGAAATTTAAGTGAGAAATGTACTTAAAGACTGTGGTGCTTGCCAGGGAGAACACATTATATTCTGATTTTTCTCTGCCATTAAAAGCTTAGAAGCAGAGCCAACGCATTACAATGTTTGTGCTTCTGGTCCCACAGCAAACCTCTCAGGTACTGAGGCAGCAATCTTCTAAGGATGGAACAGCAGTCCTGCTTCCTGGCCCTGGGGGAGCTGACTGCCTCCTTGAGGGTCAGGTATAAAACTCCACAATGTGCAGTACAGCACGCTTCAGAGGGCCCTGACACACTCAGTGCAACTCCTGTACTCTGCTACAGAAACACTTAGACTTGCAGAAACACTCCCAAAATTACCATCTGCCAGACAAAGCTGTTATTAAAAAGAATCCAAATTTGATACCATGTTAGGAAAAGCAAGCCCCCAGTTTTAAACTGGGCTGCTGAGGAGGACAGTCAGTGTATGTCATGGAGTCTTTCTTCTTATCTTTGGGGTTTTGTTTATAATGAGACAACAGCAATGTTAGTTATCTAAGCCTGTCATACCTGAGGAAAAAAGGATTAAACACACACACACCCCCAATAATCAAAACTAAACCACCCTCACCTTTCCAGCTTGAACTTCTCCCTGCACCTCCTTCAGAGCTGCCCGCTGACCTTGCAGGACTTTTATTTCTTCCTTCTTCTGTTTCTCTTCTTCTTCTCTTGTTGCCTTTCTCTGTGCCTGTCAAGAAATAGGCTTTCAGTTAGAAAAGCTTTTGAACCATCTCTCATATAGAAGAAATTGCAAAACACATCAATGGTCAATGCAACAAGAAATATCCTGCGTGGTTAAATGATGGGTCTACTACAGCAACACTTCTCTCCCCCTGAATTCCAGTGTCCTACCTGAGAGATAGCACTACTACATGTTAACAGCACACCTAATGATGCTCTGCTGCGTGTGTCATTCAGTGTCTAATAGAGCTGTGAAATCAGTACATTGCTCAGTTGGATGCAATGTTTAAAACAGCTATGTGGTTCTGCAACCTGCTTACGTACCCTGATTTCAGCTTCAGAAAGCTTGCCATCTATTTTGGTGAATCCATCAAAGAGTGTTTTATAGAGGACAGTCTTACGGATGGTTGCATCATCTGGAGGCAGATATTCCAGTACAGCAGCCCTGTGCTTCCTGTACATGTCAAGGATGATCCGCAGCGCCACATCGCGGACTTCATAAACTCGGTGTTCCAAAGCTCCTGTTGCAAACTGAACATCATAATAAGCCTCTATTTTCCCACATTTTTTTAAGGACTTCTTTATTAGTCTGTTATTTCACTGCAGGGAGAGAAATCTTCAAGCAAGCAGGTGTTTACTAACACCTTCTGACCCAGTGACTCTTTTTCCCCATATTGCCATCTTGCTTCCTCACAGGATTGTGTGTTGTCACCTCCAAGAGGTTCAAATTCTCTCTGGTAATTCACCAAACACCCCAAACAGACAGACAAGTCCCAATAAGACAGCAACAGAAAAAGCTTCCTGTGCTTCCTGTCAGGCTCCTACCTTCATGACGTTGCTGATGGTAAACCCGGAGTTTTCAGTTCCCATGTCTTCCAAGAGGCATTGCACTAATTCCACTTGACTCATCGCCAGATGTGTTGGGGAGTTGGGTTTTAATGGTTGAACCAAATGAACTGGAACAATCTGAAGAGATTTGACCTCACTGCACAGAGCCATTTCCTAGAAACATGCAGAGAGACAGCGTGCATGTAGGAATGCTGAACGAGGGAAGTTAACTGTCTTTGCAAAGAAGAGCTATTCTAAGTTACTTATAACAAGTAAAATAAAATAAGCCTTCCATAAGAAGTAGCTGCTTTTTTGTTACTTTAGCACCCAGAAGCTGCTTGCAAAGGTTTTAAAGAGAAGCTTATCCCAATGTTTGGTCTTGCTTTTGGCATCAGAGAGAAAGCTACTGAGAAATCAATAAAGTCTTAGACACGCTCAGATGAGTTACAGAGGTGGGCTGTGAGAAACATTTCAAGAACTTCATCTTACACTGAGCTATATGAGGAGAAGGTAGACAAGAAATGTCACAGAGGATACAAAGTCCTGACATTGCTGGACGTATACAGCTGGAAAAACCACTGCAAAGATGCTAAGTTTGTTCTACCACTTTGCCTTCCATCTTAGGCATCATCCTTGATGGCAGCAAACTCCGGCCTCAAAGTCTGGTGAGATGTTACCTACCCACCTGCGAGCCCTGTGACATTCCTAATGCACATCAAACCAGAATTTGAAGGAAAACACCTACCTGAATGAAGTTAGAAGCCACAAGGCGAAGACGGGATGAAGAGTCTCCTGTTCTAGAAAGCAAATTTGGCAGCGCTTTTTCCACACAATGAGAAGTTTCCAGCTTTCCCAGTTTATGTTTCGGTATATATTGGGTAATGATCATTTTTAGAAGTTTTAGGGAAGCTTGAAAAACCTAAGTTAGAAAGAACAAGAAAACACTGAACCAAAATAGCACACAGATCCCTGGTTTCAGACAATACTGTAGAATCTTCTCTGTAGTACTAAAGAACAGCAGCAACAGGAGTCTAGAATTACAGTAACACCCCTAATGGAAGCTACTGCAGAGATCCCTCTCCCAGAAAACATGTTGCTAGGGCTTAGGTGAAAGGCTTCTTATAAAGAGTAACACAGCTCTTGAGTTTTTTCTCTTCTTGTTTAAGGTTTATTTGAAGCCTAAGGCTCCTTAGGCTAACTTGCAGTCTCTCAGGCTGGAAACTAGAGGTTACTTCATTGCTCTATTTCAACTTGATAAAAACAAACAGGCTCAACCACACTACACATTTATTGTAGCAGCAGTAGCTCCTCAAGCTCATTACTCAGCCCAGGGCAGTATCTTCTGTGCTGCTGAATGACAGACATTGCCCAGTCCTTGAGCCCAACTAAAAGCTGACATTCCAGTTGTTTGGGGGGTTTGGATGGATTTGTTTGCTTGTTGGTTTGTTTTTAGTTTAAACTTACTGAACAGTAGTTTTACAAACTATTTGTTCAAAGCATCTTAACCACATGGCTGTACAATTTTGGCTGCTAGTTCTGCACTGAAGCATTTCTTACCCAACACATTACAACGTACCGAAGGCACTATGTCTTTGATGGCTCTCCTCACAAGGAAAATAGCAGCCCTCAGCATGTTCTTTAAATCCTCCTTTGGCGTGGTTACTGACACTTCCATCAGCTTCTTGTACACAGCAAGCAAGGCATCCTCTCGATATGACCAGGTTTTGGAAAATGCTCCTGAAACCTGAACACAGAACAAGTTCATCTCTTAAAATGTCAGTGCTGATATTTCAATATTTATCCAACATTAATATACAGAAACAGCCTCAAAAGAACACATGAACTTCAGCATGAAATCCCCAGGTGCTTAAAAGAATCTGGCTTTTATTAAAAGCACATATATTTGAGAAACTATGAGGAAAATGATTTAACGGGTCAGGCTCAAGGATCCATTTCCTGCACAGCAATGGCTTCTCTCCCTACAAAAGACAGTGGCAAGTTATGGGTATTCTGGCAGGGTCCATACCCTAAAGCAGTCTATTGCTCGCTATCTGCTTGATAGCTCATCAAGTAATCAATCATAAAAGCTACAGCATCTTACAAACATTGAAAACAGGCACCCATACTCCCAAGGTCAACTTTTCATCTCAGATTTTTAAGGAACAGCTCTGAAAAGGGAACCTCAGTAGGTGTTTGTTGACAGAGCGCGTATCACATCAACTCCACGCAGATGACAGTAATCTACGGGCTCATTTTGTTGTTCTTTACCAAGGCTTCTCCAAACACTTCAACAGCAGGGCTGGCCTCCCTCAGTGCCTTCTCACTTAATGGTTCTGGTTCCCCAGTAATGCCGCTTCTTGGAGTATCACCAATAAGCTCTTCAGCCATCCCTGGCTCAAGGTATGTGACGGCGCCATTAGACTGCTTCTGGATGGCTGGAAGAGGTGTCTCATCATAAGGTAAAAACTGAACCTAACAGAGAAGATGAAAGTTGCTGTTCTAGAAATGACTTAGATGTGAAGTTGGTTCCTCACAAATGGAATTGATTTCAATGCATTTTTTCCCCATTAAAGCAGTATTGCTTCACAATTACATCCAGGTGGTGAAGTTCCCATAAAAACATCATGAAGAAATGGAATCAGTGCCTGTGTATGAAACTTATTTCTTGCCTACAGAATACAATAACATATAAAATGTCTTTTGTGGCAGTGCATGCACATACAGAAGAAATAACCTGCTGATAGGAAGCCAGCAAGTCATAAAGCTTTATTTGTTAATTAAGTCAATATCCTGGTAAAAGCAAATATTGCTGCTACTAGAGACAACACAAGTCTTCCTTAGCTTTGCCAAAGGCAGGAGCAGCAAAACCTAAAGACTGAGCTAACCAGACACTGTGATTTTCTTCTTCCTTTTAGACACTACACCAAGAGTCTTATTCTACAACCACATTCCAACAAATTCTCTGGCTGCTCTAGATTCATCTGACCTGATCTCTCAGAAGGAGATTTATTAAGCCACTAATGAGCAAGCAGAATTCAGCTTCCACTGTATCAGCTACATGACCCCTGAATAGTCATTTGATGTCTATTAGCTCCCAGTCATCTGTTTGTAAATCAGATGTAACCAATCCCTTTTGGCCTCAATCCCAACAAACATTTCCAAAAGGTTCCAAAGAAATTCAGGAACAAAGATGACCAATGCCAATTAATAGCAGGGTTGATTTCAGGTACTATATAAGCCATGAGAATAACAACAAAGACCTTGTTGTTTTGGAAGGCTGAACACACAATCACTTGCTCTGACAGACTTCTGCTATAAGAGATACACTACTCACATTTTCTTTGGGAAACTCTGCCCTGGAGGTTGTGGGATGAGTCTCAGGAGGAGGAGGGGACTGGTGGGGAACAGGCGGCTCAGCAGAAGCGGGATCTGCTGAGCTCTCTTCCAGCAGAGGCTGTGCTCTCCGTGGCTCTCCTTTAGGGGGCTCTGTGTGCTCACAAGGAGGTGAATTTGCGCCTTCCGTGCGCTGAAGATTGTCGGTGTAAGTCATAGGCTCCAAAGGCAATTCAGATGGTTTTCGAATCTGAGAAAAGGAAGGAGGTTTTGCAAAGCAAGGCTAACAAGGTACTGAAATCAGAGTGGGCTCAGCCCCAGCTCTCACAGTCACCAAGATTCTGCTGCTTCCAGGTACCCATCAGACCCCGCTCAGAGATGAGTAACTATTTCCACTGGATGCAGCTTTGTAAAACAATCAGGAAATAATCCTGTGTGGATGCATGAGAGGAGATGATAAAGCTTCCTGTTCCAAGAACAATATAAAACTATATCTATATCTTATTACGTTAATTCTGTCTGGTTAGCCTTGATGCCAGCCTGTTACACCCCTTCAAAACATGAGGAAGTTTCTTATTCATCTGCATCAGGTAGCCCTCAAATTCTGCAAAACGTTCAGGATTCCCATGTCATTTGCTTGAGACCTCAACAGTCCAATGTCATGTAATTTATGGAGAACTAAACACATTGATAAAATGCCACGTACAAGTCTTTGGTTGGGGAAATCCACAATCCACATCAAAAACTTAAAACCCTCACCGAATTGTCATGAACCACCAGTGTAACAACTCTTATTGTTTGAATTTATTAGTCTGCTCTGCCACTTCTCTTTACAATACCCCCAAGAGAAAGCCTCCTGAATTAGGAATGGCAGTACCCACCATCAGCTCTGCATCCAGGAGGTCGTGGAGCTCCAGCTGCTGATACACCTTCAGGCGATACGCTTCCATTTGCTGTTTCTTCTTTTTAGCAAGATCATAATCCTCTTTCTCCACAGCACAGCGCTTCTCCACCTCGTACCTCCCCAGTCGTTCCCCTACCTGGAAGACAGCATAGTAGGCTACCTTGAAATCCCATTACCATACCTATATAGGGTGTTATTAAAGTTATTAAATCTACTGGAAACCATTATGATTCCACATGAACACAAGGGTCCCTGAGAGGCTGCTGGAGCACTGTGTGGCTTAAGAGACAAAGAGCCTTTGAACAATACCTTCTGCAGGTCTGCAATAGCTTGTTTGAGTTTCTTGGCGTAGTCATAGCGCTCCTGACGGACAGCTTCCCGCTTCTTCTCATCCAGTCTACGTATTATCTGAGCAACTTCTGGATCCTGGTACATGTCAAAAGCCAAATCATCCAGAGGTGAAATGGAGTCACGTTTCCTGAAGATATAAAAGGAATAAAATAAACTTTCAGTTAATCCAAGATAAGCCAGGCTGAGCATGTGTCTTCTATTCACTAGCAGGAAACTAACAAAAGAGAGGAACTAAGACCTACTTTAGCCTAAGCAGATGTTTTGCCAGGGTATACACAAAAGAACATCCTTACCCGAGGTAAGTTCCATCTAAGGCAGGATCATCTGATTTAATTCCTAAGTATTGGTCTATCAGCTTCTCTCTGGAAGGCTTTGTAAGGGGGAAGAAGAAATATCTTAGTGCACATTCATCAACATCAAGTGCATGTTCAGGACAGAGATTCTGACTTGCCACAATCGACACAAGCTATGTAAATTATAACACTTATGTTTTGGGACATATTGAGACAAAAGAATTTGAGAAGGCTGAAGGTGTGAATGTTCCAAATGGTTGTATTTTTAATACCCACCTATTAGGCTCCATTTTAAGAACTTCATTCAACATTAAAGAAAATGAATAATTAACGCATGGCAGCTCTGCTCCAGCACAAAACCAGCAGGAGAAAGATGCACCCCATTACCCCAGGAACCCTGTAACTCAACACATGTAGCAACAGTAAAAAGACTGGGCTGCTTTGCACTTACACTGTCAGTGCTGTCATTACTGCAGTCTGCTGGATCTCCAATAATGTTTATAGCAACTAGGGCGACCTGGGATAGATTTAAAGAAAATGTGAATGCGTAAGGTCATTACTTTTTGGCATATCTTATGAAAACTGAAACAGAAAAAAACGGAACAAAGAGACAAAAAATAGAAGTGGTGGTCTCCAGAGTGATATGAAAGCAAAGCAAAGCACTAAGTGCTAAATGTACGTCATGCTCCATTAAAAGTTTATTACCAAGTCTCCAGACCACATTGCACAGCCATGGTTGTTCTTTTCTTTGTCAAGGTGGCTGTACAATACCTGCATTTAACATCAGCTCAGATCCTATAGTCTGAGAGTGCCTTTGTAAGGACCATAAAGCTGTTCTCAGAGAAAGCACTTCGTCCCCATTGCAGAGCCTGATGTGCAGTCTACAACTCGGGATGAAAGGCAGTAATGGAATGGGCACTTGACTTGTTTGTTCTGGATGAGTTGCATGCACTTGGTCATGATCCCAAATCACTTAGAACCTCATATTTGTATTTTCTGGTTTAAAAGAAACCAAATATAAATCCAACTGACATGTTTAGCTCCTGTAATTCAAGGGAGCAGATTTCATTGCCTGTTCTGTACCGCTAAAGTGTCATCTAGCTTGCCAAGTAAGGACTTGTAACTGAACTTACCTGACCATATAAGTTGTACTTATTGTCATAATTTTTATGGAAAATCAGCTTCAGGTACTGGCCAACTGCATTCATGTACACAGATTTTAACTCTCGTGCTCTGAAATCAGTCTTTTCGTTGTCCGAGAGAGGAACATAACTGAGAAGGAAAATGTAACGAGTAAGCAGAGGAACTGTACAAATACACAGCTGGATTTCTGCTCCTCAGGTGAGGACTTTGATAAGGTTTAAAACTCCCTTCTAAGAGAAACATGTGCTGTGTCCTGACAAAACTGTTCGTCTGCACCATGCCTCTTACACCTACATCTTCAGCTTTGTTACCCATCTAAGCAAGTACAGAGTATCTTTGCTGCTTCCAGCACACTGTACCCATATTATTTCATATTATTTCCTCCTGAAGACCTTTTGATTAAGGTAGTAAAACCATTTAGAGCTGTTTTCCTTACCCTAGTCTGTGAAATCTCTCCGACTGATAAGGAGCAAAGTATTCAGGCAAGCTTTCGCTGATGTAGAACTCAATTTTGCTTGAAATCATGTACTGGTGAGCAAGCAACTGCAGTTTTCGTATTCGACATCTCTCCACCAACTGCAGAACAATTTCCTGTGGATACTGACAGAGTCTGAAAACACACACAATTTCTGAATCATCCTTTTATAGATGATTTCACTTCCAACTTGAGTAACATTTAATTACGAAGCTTTCCAAAGTTATTATCACTTAAGTCAGCATTACAAATACCATGAAAAGAAACCAAGGAGTAGAGTAGAAGCACTTTTCACTTCATTGCATGCATGTGTACATTCAGGTGTCCATACATGTCTAGAGGATGTGCTGAGAAGACTGGATTTTTAATAGTAAGCCAAAGCAGTTGAAAACACCAAAACTGACAAGAATACAAGTAATTCCCCTTTTTTCCTTTGAAGGACTTTATAATACAATGGGATGCCTTTAGGTGGTAACCAAGGCACTTCCCCCCACCACGAGGATAAGGATGCCATGAGATTAAAGTAACTTCTTTTGGTTTATCATCAGTTTGGGTTGGGCTGCTGTGACTGCTCTGGCCTGGTACATCATCTGCTCTTTTTAAACCCAGTGCACACCCATCCCAGCCCCTCGAGGTACCTGGGTGATCGCCATCCGTTCACTGTCGGTGCGTGAACCATCAGCTCCTTCGCGCTGAAGCCGTCTTCGTGTCCCGATGAACTAACAACTATAAACCCGATCTTGTGTGGCATCCTGCAGACGTGAGCCACTCAAAGCCACGGTGTTTCAAGCTTAAGGTAATCCCTGGAAGGGCAATAAAAGAACACTGAAACGCTCCAGTCAATGCATTAAGTCCCGTGGTCTGCCAAGTCAGTAGATGACGATGACAAATCTAAGCTTTCTTTATAGTATCAGCCCCATAAACCACACCACGTTCTTACGCTGAGCATTTTGTTAGCACTTAACACAATGAGGGATTAACTAACTTGTGCAACAGTTTGCCAAAGTAAATAATTAAGCAATAATGAAGAACGGGGCCAATTTAGCACCTTTCCACAGCTACACACACACCTGGGCTGCGGACAGGAACGGCACAGGGAGGGAACAACGGGCAGGACAAGCACCATAGACCACCGCTACCCCCACC